GTCCTTCAGCTGATTACTTCAAATGAAAAGTGAAACCGCTACAATTACGGGATAATGACTTCATGCCGGCCGCGCTTCCCGAGCGCCGCCGATTGCCGGACTTCCAGGGCAGCGTCGTGAGATGTCGCCGGGGACACAGCTCGGGTCTCCAGCCGGCTTCACAATGGAAAATAGAAATTGACTTTATTCAGATCAAAAATGTAACAAAAAAAAAAATCTCATAAATAAACCGACTCAGAAAACAGAGCGAAAGATTAACACTTCGTACGTCACACATCCCCAATGTTTAGTATTTCGTATATTGGGACGCACCGATACCAGTTTTTTGGTATCGAGTACTGATATTTTTTTTCAGGTGCTCAGTGATACCAACTCATTAAGGAAGCCAGGCGGCGTGTAATGACTCGCCACCCAGCTTCCCCATTAGCCTGGTGACAAAGGAGCATGGAGCCGGCTTTCCGACCAATCAGGAAGCCGGGAGGCGAGTCATCACACGATGCCCGGCTTCCTCATTGGCCGGGAAGCCGGCACCTGGTGATGAGGAAGCATGGCGCCGGCTTTCTGGTCAAACAGGAAGTCGGGGAGTGCAGGTAATGACTCGCCGCCTGGCTTCCCGATTGGCCAGCTTCTCGACCAGGAAGCCAGACGGCGAGTCATTACACGATACCCGGCTTCTTGATTAATGACTCGCCTCCTGATTGGCCGGGAAGCCGCCACCTGGTGACGAGGGAGCATGAAGCTGGCTTTCTGGCCAATAAGGAAGCCCAGGAGGCGGGTAATGACTCGCCTCCTGGCTTCCTGATTGGCCGGGAAGCCGCCACCTGGTGACGAGGGAGCATGAAGCTGGCTTTCTGGCCAATAAGGAAGCCCAGGAGGCGGGTAATGACTCGCCTCCCGGCTTCCTGATTGGCCGGGAAGCCGCCACCTGGTGACGAGGGAGCATGAAGCTGGCTTTCTGGCCAATAAGGAAGCCCAGGAGGCGGGTAATGACTCGCCTCCTGATTGGCCGGGAAGCCGCCACCTGGTGATGAGGGAGCATGAAGCTGGCTTTCTGGCCAATAAGGAAGCCTGGGGCGGCGGGTAATGACTCGCCATCCGGCTTCCTCATTAGCCATCTTTCCGACCCATCAGGAAACCAGCTCCATGCTTGGTGACTCCTGATACCGGAAGCTCGGGGTATCAGGCTAGGCACTTGGGCGAGTACGAGTACTCACCCAAATACTCAGTATCGGCACCAATACTAGTACCGGTATCGGTGCATCCCTAATTTTATATATTATTATATTATTATTATGTTATATAAAATTGAGTATTTATGACATGTATCTACTATGTAGCACCAGGCCCATCCTGATTGGATACAAACTGACTGCAGACAGACGGCAACATTGTAACTTTGTATCCAGTCACAAGGTGAGAGGCTGCAGCATGGGGCTGGTATTCGTCAGACATTTGTGAACACAAAAAAAAACAGAATGACATTAGCATGCTGATGAGGGAGCATGAAGCTGGCTTTCTGGCCAATAAGGAAGCCCAGGAGGCGGGTCATGACTCGCCCTCCTGGCTTCGGAATCGGAAGAAACTTCATTGATAAGTTGACCTGATTTTGTTAATTTGTTGGTCACATGGCAGAGATTTGAGTCGGCTTCATTGGCTCGCGCTC